TCCTAAAGTCCCACATTGGTTGGAGATAATGCATTGAAATAGTTTATATAGAGTGACACCCCTCACCTTACCAACCGGTTTTGTAGGATAGTGTTAGGCCAAACTCTAATATGGTATCAGAGCCTATCGATCGGACCTTGGGCAGCAAAAAGAGTGTTGGGCGTGAGGGAGTGTATTAGGAAGATCCTAAAGTCCCACATTAGTTGAAGATTGAATATTGAAATAGTTTATATATAGGGTAGTGTTAGGCCAAACTCTAATAAAAAGTTAGAAAAGTCCCACATTGGTTGAAGATTGAATATTGAAATAATTTATATGTTAAAAATGCAAGAAATATTTTGAGCACTAAGAAATGTTTTAGACAAGAATTTCATATACCCAAATGAATAGAAACTTGATTGTTTTTGTCTTCAAGCTTTGACTTCTTATATGAATAGAAACTTAATTGCTCTTGCCTTCAAACTTTGACTTCTTTTTATTGATGTGTTTGTCTTCATCAAAACTATAAACAAATATAAAAAGAACTCTTCTTCACAAAGGGTCCATTTTTAATATTGGAACATGACTTCTAAATTGTTCGAGACGGCCCTGACTATTACTAATTCATTGTTGTATTTTCATATACATAATTATAATTATAATTATTTTTATATTAATATTGATTTTATTTCATAGAGGTGAGGCAAAAAAGTTTTAGAGTAGTGTTTTGATTGATAAATTAGAAGTTAATGACAATGTTATTTTTGAGCATTTAACCCTAAAATTATTAAGCCGTTTGAAAAATTTAGGTTTGTCAAACCATTCCATGAAATTGAATATTGGCACAATTATAATATTAATAAGGAATTTGGATCAATATGAAGGACTTTGCAATGATACAAGAGTAATAGTTACTAGGCTATCAAACCATGTAATTGAAGCAAAGATAATTTCAAGTACAAATGTTAGAAATACTATTTACATCCCTAGAATGTCTTTGTCCCATTCTCTATCTTTTTGGTCATTCAAACTTATCAGAAGATAATTCCCTATTATTGTCTCATTTTCTATGATAATTAACAATTCACAAAGGCAATCTTTTGAGTATGTTTGTTTATATTTGCCTAAAGATGTGTTCGGTCACAAACAACTCTATGTGGCCATTTCTAGAATCAAAAGCAAGGGTTTGAAAATTTTAATACATGACAAAGACAAGAAATCATTGTCTCAAACAACTAACATAGTCTTCAAAGAAGTTTTCCATAAAATTGTTTAAGTATTTTTATATTTCATATTTTTCTCTTATTCCTTTTTCAATATCTTTCTAATATTAGTATGTACATTTTAGTCCCTTATTTAATAAACTTTACATTTTAGTCCCTTAAAATGTTTCTGTTAGTCAAATTAGTCATTTATGTTAAATATTGAGAAAAATGTTAAGTTATGATGATGTGCCATGACAACATAACAAAAGTCAAAATAGTGAGCCATCAATTTAGACAAGGGACTAAATTGAAACCTTGTAGTTAGTTAAAGGACCTGACTAGCACAATAACTAAACTGCGATTAAAGTAACCAGACTAGAATTTCATAACATTTTAGCAGACAATAACATGTTATTTACTATACTAAAATTCTATATCAATGAAATATTGAAATTAATAACCTCAAACTAGAATTATGTTACATTTTATTATTCAAACCAAAGACATCAAACAAAAATGGAGAACCAAATAAGTATTTATATGGTCTAAAGAATGATGAACAAAGTATTTCTCTTTACATTGATTGAATAAAATGTATATATTCATGTGTACAAACTGTGACTCTTTTGAAGTATTTTTTTCTTCTTCTTTGGAATTAGATGAGCTGAAGAGAGCGGTGGTGCAGACTTAGATGGTGTTGTCTGACTTAGTGATGTAGACCTAATTAGTGTTTCATTATCATATTCACCACTCTATATCACATGTAGAATTTACAATTGCAAATTAATTATAGATTTAATAATACATGGTACATATAAGAGGTAAAAATGAATTTTGAAAATAATATATATAACTCTAAATTTCATCCATAATCACCTCAAAATAACTTTAGTATGACAAACACTACATAAAACTTGTATCTGATCTTGAATATTTTTCTTTCTTTTTCTCACAAAAATCTCCCAAACAAACTTGATAATCCATTAAGAATGTGCCCTAACTTAATAGATTAGAATGAAAATTTTGTTTTTATAAATCTCCTTCTCTAATTCTTATTTATAAAAAAATGTATGCATCTAGAAATATGAATCCATAGCAAGTCTTTGGCTTCGTTTCAAATACTCAACTAGATGAGTAATCATGGCCCAAAATCCATACTCCTTACCATATACTATTTCAAAATAAAGGAAACAAAGACTATACAAATTCTCAAGATTAGGAATAATAACAGGGACTAGAAGTTTAGTACAACAATGATAAGTAACAAACACCAAAGAGCATATCAATATCAATATCAAATGTAAGAAACTTTCTAGAATGATAGCATCTTCAAAACTATTATAACAAAAACAATAATAGAAAAAACCACTGCATATTAGAAGAGGTCATAAAATTTATAGCTTTTTTTATTGACACTAAATCTTTAATTCTTTACTAATTTCTTCGATAGTTCTCCCCATAGAGTACATACCAAAATGCAGATTATGATGAAATATATATATATATATATATATATATATATATATATATATATATATATATATATATATATATATATATATATATATATATATATATATATATATATATATATATATATATATATATATATATATATATATATATATATATATATATATATATATATATATATATATATATATATATATATATATATATATATATATAACACAAAGGGACCAAAACTATCATATATTACTATAACTTACCAGTTACCAACTTACCACCCCCTAAAACTTCAGTCATGTGCCACGATGATTGCATCACAAAACACGTAAGAAGATACTCCCATGTGATAACGATCTATTATCATAAGATATACAATTGTAGTATCATTAATTAACTTTTCAGTAAGATATAGTTACAAAGGTTTCTTCACTGCGCTTTCTTCCTCCGTTTCTGCCATTCTTTATTTTCAGTGATCCGTAACTTTAAAAAACAAAACTTTAATTGAAAGTCCAAAATCTAAAATAGAAGATTGACATCGAAACCCTAATAAACACTAAAAAATGAGTAAACCCTAATTAAGAAGAATAAAAAAGATGTTACCTCCTTCAAAAAAACAAAAGTGAGCCGAATTACAAACAAAATCTGGGAATTTCATCTTCTAGGATTTGACGTTATCTTCGTCACCTATTTTTCTCTCCAATTGCTTGTGTTTCAAATTTTATTTCATCATTTTTATCATCTTTTCTCAACCTATATACAGTGAAGCTACAAAAATCAGAAACAAGTTTGTACTTTTTGTTTCTAATAAGAGATAAGATGAAACATACTTGAAGATGTTGAGAAGTAAGTTGTGTTGTAAAAACAGGTGTGAGTTCTAAGTCCCATATTGCTTAGAAAAATGGAGGTTGTGCACTTTATAAGTGAGAGAACCCATACACCTATCACCTTAAGGTTTTTGGTGAATATATGGTGTCTCTCGCTTGTTTGAGTGAGTCTTGACCTTTAGGTGAGTGTTTGATCCAATGTGAATGCATCCCCCTCATGGTGATCCATTAGTGGTATCAGAGCCTGGTTCAAGTAAGGGACTGACTCTTAGTGTCGAAAGTCAAGTAAGGGACTGACTCTTAGTGTCGAAAGTCTTCCTGACACAGTGGTCAGGCGACATGTTTTGTTGAAGTGCCCATGACGAGATAAGGGTGTCTCTCATCGGCGGTACAAGCATGAGATGAAAGAGCTTTTGCTTGAGGGGGATCATAGTAGATGGACTCACACTTGAGGGGGAAATTATTGAGAAGTGAGTTGTGTTGTAAACAAGTGTGAGTTATATAAGTCACACATTGCTTAGAAAATGAAGGTTTAACACTTTATAAGTGAGAGAACCCATACACCTATCACCTTAAGATTTTGGGTGAATATGTGGTGTCTCTCTCACTTGTTTGGTTGAGTATTTGATCTTTAAGTGAGTGTTTGACCCAATATGAATGCATATTCCTCATGATGATCCATCAGAAGATCTAGTAAAAGAGGATATTAGGTCTCTTTAATTTTAGCAGCAAATGAGAGATGGGAAGAAGTGATGAGCATTAACTTTGATTCCATTCAATAGATTCTCTACGAGATGTTTCGAGAACATAGTTGGTTTAAAGAAAGCTATAAATATGGTTTTGTTGTTCTTTGGAGAGAAGTGATTTGGTTACAATTGAAATAGGGTCGAAGGTGGTTAATTGTTTAATTACAATTAATAATAAATTTAAAATAAAAAAAACCACGTCATATAACAAAATACCCACTGTCATATAGGCCAAAATTAATATTTTTCACTAACATTTAACATAAAAAATTAAATTGGCTAACATAAGCATTGTTAAGAGACCAGTAACATTTATTAAATAAAAAACTAAAATAAAATATTAACTTAAATTATGAAATCAACATATGAATTAAACACTTTTATTTATCAATACAACTTCAGCAGCACACTACTTTTTTATTTATTTTTAGTCTACCATCTTAATTTCCTATTAAATATTTGTATATAACTCAGACATATCACTATTTTTTGTGTGTGACTATTTCATATTACATTATTGTAGGCTATGAAATGTGGGATGTTACAATTGTGAAAATGTGGGGTGCCAAGTAGATTTTATAAAAAAAAGGGAAAGAAAGAGAGAATAAAAGAAGCCCAACCTATTAGAATTGGGCCGTAAAGAAAAACCCTAACTGATCCACTCCATTTGGTTACGTCTATAAGAACCCTGCCACCGAAACTACTCCACACTGCTTCCGCTTAGCCGAACGCAGTTGAACAAACAGTACAGCTTCCGCATTGTTCACCATATCATAATGGTCAAGGGAAGACAAGGAGAACGAATTAGGTTTGCAGTTCTAAAATTTACCCATTAATCAGAGTTTATAAGAAATGATGAACTTGATTTGATGAGAGCATTTTCTGAATATTTATGCTAATAGTTTCATTTTGATCTTGTGTGTAATCAGGCTTTATGTCAGGGGCACAGTTCTTGGATACAAAAGGTACTTGTTTTAACCCTAGAATCGTTTTGCATTTTATAATTTTAATGATTTTGTGCTAAGTTTTGGTTTTGTTGATTTAGGTCTAAGTCAAATCAATACCCAAACACCTCTCTTGTTCAGATTGAGGGAGTGAACACCAAGGAGGAGGTTGCATGGTATGCTGGGAAACGGTTGGCATACATTTACAAGGCCAAGGTTAAAAGGGATGGTAGTCACTATAGATGCATTTGGGGAAAGGTTACTAGACCTCATGGTAACAGTGGTGTAGTCCGCGCAAAGTTCACGTCGAATTTGCCACCAAGATCAATGGTAATTTTTTGGACTTTTATTTGTTTTTCATTTCAGTAGCTTTTTTTAAATTGTTTTTTTTAATGTTTTGGTTTTGATCTGTTTGTGCAGGGAGCTAGGGTTAGAGTGTTTATGTATCCAAGCAATATATAAGGTAATTTTACCATTTTATCGATGCTTGTTGACTTTTTATATACATTGTTTGTTGTTTCATTATGGTGCTACTTTGAGAACTGTAATCTTGATTCATTAAGGGATTGTTTTATGATTATTTGGGTCATTTGTCAGCATTCAATGGCTCAAACTGATACTTCAAGTTACTTGCTTTATGTTCATTATCTGTTGCATTGTTATGCTACTTTGAGAATTGTAGTTTTGATTCATGAACTGTATTATTTTATGGTTATTTGTGTCATTTGTCACATTCTCGTGGTAGAAAGGGAAAAGACTTTTCTTCTGAAACATTCTCCTTTATATAGTTGTTTCTTATTAAACTGAAATATTCTAGACAATTGGTGAAACTTCTCTTATTTAATACTTGCAAATTATTCTTTTAATATTGTAGTTGAGAAAGTCGCACTTAGTTCTTCTTGTTAACATTGTTTAACCAAAATTGTTTTCAGGATTTTATCTGTGCGTATATCAAGTAAAAAACCTTTCTGCTTGAGACATCTCTTTAAATCTATGGGGATGCGCTCCAATGTAACTGGCTTACAGATTTTTCTAATTGTTCTTGATCCTTCTCATTAATTGGAAATATTCTTGTAATATGTCCATTTGGTTTCTTAATCAGTTCTTGTTAATTGATCTTTTGATTTTTGGGCATAGGAAAATTGCACTTAGTTCTTCTTGGTAACACTGTTTAACAGAAATTGTTTCCAGGATTTTATCTGTGCATATATCAAGTGAAAAACCTTTCTGCTTGAGACTTCTCTGTAAATCTATGGAGACGTGCTCCAATGTAAATGGCTTACACATTTATCTATTTGTTCGTGACCTTCTCATTAAACAGAATTAGTCTACGAAATCTGTCCATGATTCTTATTTAATACTTGAAAATCTATCTTTTGATATTCTGGCAAAAGTAATCTGCACTTAGTTCTTGTTAACATTGTATGACTTTGTAGAATATAAATTGTTTCCAGGATTTAATCTTGTGCAATATCAAGTGAAAACTTTTCTGCTCGAGACTTTTCTTTAAATCTATTGAGATGCGATCCAATGTAATGGTTAACAGTTTTGTTTGGTTCTTCTCGAGCCTTCACTTTATATTGTTTGTATTACGTCCTTCCTATTTCTGTTGCCAAGAATTAAAATTGATGGTTTGTATTTTGCACACAGATCTTCTTGGCTACCTTATTTAAAAAGTGGTTTCCAAGATTTTAGTTGTGCAGATAGCAAGTGAAAACCTTTCTGCTTGAGGCTTCTCTTTTATCCATGGAGATGTTCTCCAATGTGTTCGGCTCACAATTTCATTCCTCTATATGGTTGTAATTTTTGTTCGTTTGCACATAATAAGATATAGGATGACATGTAATTGTTTCTGGCTTTCACAAACCTACCGTTTTTTTGGATTTTGAAGTCTCTTTTTTACATATTTTAGGTTCTCTACATTTCTACATTTAGATTGTTGAAATATTTTTCTTACAACATTTTGTTTGGTGGTTCATGCTTATGTTTATCTGTTAATTTTGCAGATTGTCCCTACATTTTGACTAGAAGGTATATCGAAGTTAAAATTTTGTTCCCTTTTGTAATTCTGAACAGAATAGTTCTTTTTTTAGAAGGTGAATGAGCATCTTTTTATTCATCATTTTGGTATTAGTCCTGATTTTATTAATGGATTTCCCCCCTTGAATTATTCTACTTTAGGTCTATCTATGTTCACTCTAAATCCGACTATAACAAATTTCTATTAAAAAAACTCTTATAATTAATTAAGCTTGAAATGGTGTTATATTAATGATAACTCATGTTCTTTTTATTCCTCTCAAGCTAATCGTTTACAAGAATTGATGACCATTTGCAATATAACGGACTTGAATTCTATTAGTGGTGGTGGCTTCTAAGAATTATTAGCAGAATGAAAAAAACAAAATTTCAATGATTGTGTAAAAAAATATTCGGAATACACATTTGATTACTACTAATAAAAAATGTAGAAAACACTTGTATTAAAAGTAATAATCCTTGAATCAAATGAGGTTACTTCTATGCACTTTATGTGAGTAACAAGGAATGAAAAATCGTCTGGGTTGACAAAATCATATTGTGCATGCATGTTCACAGCAACTTATCATTTATGCAACCTTTATTGACATGTTCTCTCCAACAGATGAGTAAAACCCTAAACTTATTGTTATTTAATTTAATAGTAAGATTGTAGAGTAATATATAATCCTTGGGTTATGCGTGATTGAAGACGCAATAGTGCTGTATATACTCTCTGATTTGGTTATTGGTAGATGTCACATATTAAAAACAATAACAAGTTTCACCTAAAAAGTGAAGCTTATAAGTCAAATAGTTCTAATATATGACTTTTGAGACATTGTGATAGTCTGCACTAATTTTATTGTTTGCGAAACAAATGCTGGTACTCCTAACATTTACTGTGGCATTGCATTCATTCAATAATCAAACAAAGTGTGAAGGAAAAGAAGAATAATACTCTTAAACTTTGGCTCCTCAACACTACATAGTTTGTGCTTTTTATGATACGTCCACACGTCTAGCTTTGACTTCCCCTGCATCAATGCACGACTTTGGGTGGTTTTGAACTAGCAGTTTACTTTAGATGTAGACAAAATATTGGGCCTAACATGAACTAACTTTTTTTTGTACTGAAAATCAATGAGATGTCTGTTTTTTAATGACATATAATTTATATTGTTAATTTTTAAGATTTCACAATTTTTTTGACATTCCCTCTCATATTTTTACACTGAAAATTAATGATATGTTGATTTTTTAATGAGTGACTTATATTTTTATCTTCAAATTTTTACACTGAAAATTAATGATATGTTGATTTTTTAACGAATAACTTATATTTTTATCTTTAAATTTTTACAAAAATTAAAATAATTTCATCCACAAATAATTGTGAGTTTCCAAGCTCAAATTTGAGTGATGGTCTTCAATATAACAATGTCGATATTTGTTAGTTGAATTATGACTTAAAGAATTTTGTTTTAGTCTTTGCAAAATAATTAGATATTTAAATTAGTTAAGATAATATTCATTTGTGTCACGATAATATTCACATGTGTTTTAGGTCGGCAATGTGGTCCAATAAGACCGACCTAATTCGAAGACTCAATCTAGAGTTTCGTCGGTTCAAGACTGACTAATAGGTAAATTCTCATAAGGGGTCGTGTAATGGAGCTGTGTAATGCGCTATTCTCATTTGTCGGAGTCAATCCAATGGTCTCTCGTATTCCACATCATACTCATTAGGGGAAGTTTTAACTGTTGCCTATAATAAGCGTGTTATTTCATGTGTTATTTCATGGCATAATAAGGTATAATTCATTATTAACTTACTCGTTGGAATGTTAAGAGGTATAATGTTATTATCTTTAGACCTTTTCAATTTGTTAAAACAAAACGACTTTAGGTGGTCAAATTTAATACAGTGAGAACATTTATAAACAAGTCGATTCACTTTCTTCCTATTTAATTATTTACTATGTGTTCCACCAGACTTAAACCCTAATCCAATTTTATTTGAGGAATACCTTTGACTTGAAAGAATCAGGTCAAGGTTTTTTCCCTTTGTAAATTTATGTAGGCTTTCATGAAAATTTGTTACTTCATTTTTCATCGAGACACAGTTCTCACATGTTTTTGTTGAATTTCTAATATTAGTTATATCGTGCTTAATTACTCTTCTTTAGAAACTCATGATAATCCTTAAGGTCTAGGTTACACTTTTTACTATTATTATTTCTTCAATTAACTTAACACTTAATTTAAAGAGCCTTTCATATGATACATTTGTTACCTCATGGTTATCTTCTTCGTGAGATACATTCAAGCAAACTATATCTTCTTTGTTGAACAAAGATTCTTCGAAGGTTCTACTTGAGGTTGACTTTTTGGGGTTTGATGATAATTTAGCAATTGCACCAAACATTATTGAAGTAGTAAAAATATACGTCTGTATCGGCAAGGATTGTGTTATTTTAACAAAGGGATTTGCGTGCTATTGAAAAGTAAATTTTGGGGGGTTTGCTTGAGAGTTGGTTGAATTGAAAATACTTAAAATTGTTGGTAAAATATAAAATTGATAAGGAAATCAAGTCTTATTCGAATCCTATAACTTTCCATGTTGATGATTGTGTTCATTTGTCTAAATTTGATTTCACAGAATTAGGAAGAACTAACAAGGTTGTTTTACTCAATTCCTTGGTGTATAAATCATCAATTTAAACAACAAATGGCCAATCCCTTAGGCTAGATGGTTAGTAAAATCAGGCAAAATAAGTTCGTTAAAGTTTCTAGTGAAGGATGAAGTCGGTACGAAGGCATATTTAGGAAACACCTAGTGGGAATAAATCATGATAAAAAGGCTCTCATGAGGTTCCTTGCATTAATGAGAATCTATAAGATATTATCCCTATCTAGGAGGACAAATCGATTCACTTTTATATGACCTATTTCTCTTTCGTAAGGCTATATAGGTTCAAGACACTTAATTTCCAGATGCACCAATTAACACAATCACGACAGTTTGATGCAAACGGTAGGAGATATCCATTATGGCTTCTCGTCGGATCGACCCATCCAAACAAGCAAAATAGGTGTAGTAACTATATGTGAGGATGAACTAAACATATTTTCTAAAACCCCTCTTCATTGACACCATCACAATAAAACAGTCAATATAAACTTAAAATTCGCGAAACTCTCCATATATAAACATCAAACTTCTTTTTCTTCTTCCAAAAGGAAGCAATCTTTGATCTTGGTATGCAATGGCCAAGGTGCATTGTATGTTGAAAATATAGAAGAAAAGCATTAGAGTGGGGACACCGTTTGTTTATTCATACCAATACTAGAAGTCTTAGACATAGGTCCAACTCACGGGGTGCAATTGCAAAGGGGAAATTCCCAAGTGACTCATGACCCTAACCTCAAACTCGTTCAAA